ACAAAAATAAACTGATTTTTTTTACTTTTTATAATAAAAACATATTTTCAACTATTAAAATCAGATGAAATTTAAGTTGAATTTTATTAATTAACCAGTTAACTTTTCAAATAATAAACTTATTTTTTTTTACTTCTATAATAGAAAAAATATAATTTCAAGTAATTTGATAAGAAGGAATAGATTTTTATTCTTATTATTTTTTTTATTATTTTTTATATTTTAAATGATTTTGAAGGATGTTTGAAAGAAAAATAGAATATAATTTTATTATTTTATTATTTTTAAAAATGGTAATATTATAATATGAATATTTAGAATGATTTAAGAGAATTATAGAAGGAAAATAGATTATATTTTTAATATTTTACATAGTTTTCTGCTTTTTTATTTATATTTTTTAAATAATAAATTAATCAGTAAGATTTTGGTAATATTTTTATTATATTTTTGCAAATTTATATTAGGTTTTTATTATTAATAAATAAAATATATTAATTTATATGTTTATTTGACTTAATTGATACCAAATTAAGATTAATTTTAAACTAATATATAGTTATTTAAGTTCTGATTTTATACTGAATTGAGTTTAATTTTAGGCTGATTTATAGTTATTTAAGTTCTGAATTAATACTGAAGTAATATTAAATTAAAATCAATTTTAGGCTGATTTATGGTTATTTAAGTTCTAAATTAATACTAAATTAATATTAAATTGAGATTAATTTTTGGCTGTTTTATAGTTGAATTTAAGTTTTAACTAATACTGAATAGTTATATCTGATTAAAGTTAATCATCATCTATCAGCATATGTTTATATCAATCAAAAAATATGATAAATCAACCATAAATAGTATCAAAATCAGCTTAAAATTAGCCATCTAATTTCTAATCAATTTGAAATATTTTAATTAGTGAATAGTAAATGTTTTTTTTTATAAGATTCTTAAAACTTTTTTCTACTGGTAAGCTAAGATAATTACAAACATTTTATTAAGTTTTTTGGATGATTTTATTTTTTAAAATTTTTTCTATATTGAAATTAAGTAGAGTGAAAAAGAATTTTGTTTTTAAATCTTTTTTATATTTTATCAATAAACTATTTTATGTAATTTACCTTCAGTAATAAGTAATTTTATATAAAATATAAATTCTTAATATAAATTTTATTTAGTATAAATGTGTTTTTTATATAAATTTAAAAAAGAATTAAATTTTAATATTTTGTCTAACTAGTATAATTCATATATTAATAATATAACTATTATATTTTTTTAAATTTAATTTTAAGATTTTATCAAGTTTTATAGTTTAATATAAAATATCTTAATAATATGATTTTGAAGAGTTTATAAATAATCTGAAAAGCTAATTTAAAATATATATATTTTAATTTTTTAAGATAGTATTTAATAAGAATCAAATATTATATTATAGTAGGATTTTTATTTGAAATACAAATTGCATTTCAATTATTTGAAAGTTTTTTAAAATAATTTCAAATTAATATTGAAATGATTTTAAATATTAAAGTCATTTTTAATTATTAAATTGATTTTGAATATTAAAAATCAATTTAGATACTAAATCATTTCAAATATCTAATATTAAATTTTTTCATATTTTTCTTTTTTTTTATTTTTTAGTTTTTTCGATATTTTAAATTTTTAATTAAGTAAATTTTAGTTTTATTTTTTATATATTTTTTTATATTTTTTTATTTATTTTATTTATTTAAAAATAAATAATTGATCAATAAGATCGATCAAATAATTGATAATTAAAATAATATCTAAATTGTTTTTGATATTTGAAATTAATTTCAATTTAATTATGTATTTTCAAATATTTAAATTTTATTATTTACAAATAAATATTTGAATATTCTATTTTTAAACAAAAACCTTATATATTATATATATATTTTTATTAAAATTTGATAAAATTTTTTTAAACATAAGATTAATAATCTAATAGATTTTTAAATTAATTCATTTAAATTTCAATAATATAAAAGGCTATTAAAAAGTTAAATTTAATCTATTAAATTTTTTTACATTTTTAATTTCATTAATATAAAAAAAAAAGTCTATTTATTAGATCAAGCTTTTTAATTTGATATCTTTGATATTTTTTTTTATATTGACTAATAATATATTTAAAATTTTGAATTTTTATAAATTTTATTTATAAAATAAAATCACATGATATTTTAATTAATAATTAGATTAAATTTATAAAAATAAGTAAGATTAGTATCTTATTTTATTTAAGTATTCTTCTTTAATTAATATATATTTAATAAAAGAAAAGAGATCAATAATATATAAAACTTTAATAAAAAATATAATAAATATTTTACTTTTTCTAATTATATCTCTTTTGTTCTTTCAAATTAATCTTCTTAGTAATATAAATTATTACAATAATAGTATTAAGGTTTATAAAATAAAGAAATTTAAATGTAAAACACAATTCTTTATATTATTTATCAAATTATAATTCATCCTAAAATTTTAACATATACAGTAGAAAAATTTTTATCTAGAAGATCCTTAAAAATATATCAAAATTAACATTTATCATTAATATAATAATATTGAAGATACTATTTGAAATTTTTTATAATATATATTTTAAAGATTCTTATACTTAGATTACATCTCACACATTCAGATTATATTATCATATTTCATAATTTAATCTAAGCTAATAACTTAATTAAGTTTTATTTTCTTAAATATATTATTTATTAAATATATTTTTTTTTATTAATAAATCATTTTATATATATTTTAATATCTATTTATATTTTAATTACCTTAAATAAATTATTAACTATTTATATAATTCTTTTTTAAATTTATAATATCTTATTAATACTTTTATTACTTAAAATATTTTAAGTTTTTTTTTTTAAAAAATTATTTGAATTCTTTTTTAATATTCATCTTATTTGAAAATATAAATGGTTTTTGTATATATAGATTTATTAAATACTTTTATCTTAAAGTTTACTTACTGTATTTTTTGAACTTCAATCATAAAATAATATGTTAATTAAGCTGTATATAATAAATTTAAGTTATTTATATTTACTAATACAGAATTTTTGTAATTAGAACTGACCTATTTGATTAAAAAAAAACCGATTTCCAAAAATAAATTTTACGTAATATTTTAATCAAAAAAAAATCTGATTGATAATCTACAAAAAAAAAAAAAAAAATTGGACCAAACTTTGTTTTTCCGTTCGACTTTTTTTTACAGAAATAATTTTTAAAATATGGTTCATTTATGGTTACGAGCAGAAACAAAACCAAAGGAACATCGGGCAGCATTAACACCATTAACTTGTAAAGAATTGCTTAATAATGGTACAAATATAAAATAATAATTTTGAAATTTTGTTTTGTCCAAAAAGCTTGATTGGCTTTTAAGAATTCAGCTCGATATTCGTCTGATGATTATGCATTGATTAGGATTTCAAATTACTGTGGAAAAATCTGTGGATCGAATATTTGATGATGAGGAATACGAACGGTAATTTAGCAAATTTTTTTTTTTTTAAAAAAAAAAAAAGTAAACTTTTGATATTTATTTAGGATGGGATGTACTCTTGTACCGACTTTAACGTGGAAAAATGCACCAGCTGATGCATATATTATCGGACTTAAAGAATTACCGGAAAATGATGATTCACCACTTTCGCATCAACATATTTTTTTCGCTCATTGTTTTAAAAATCAGGGAGGATGGAAAGAGATTTTAAATAGATTTATCAAGGGAAATGGAACTATTCTTGATTTGGAATTTTTGGCGGATGAAAAAGGACGTCGTATAGCAGCATTTGGTTATCATGCTGGATTTGCTGGAGCAGCCCTTGGTCTTGATGTTTGGACTCATCAGCAATTACATCCTAAACAAAACTTTCCTTCCGTTGAGCCTTATCCTGATGAAAACGAATTAGTCAATTATATTAAAAATCGATTGGATGGTGCAGGTATCATATCAAGATTTTTTTTAGGAAATATCAAAAGAAGGATAAGGTTTAAATAAGTAACTTTTCTTTATATAGTTGCTGTTCGTGGAAGATCGCCACGTGTCATGGTTATGGGAGCGTTAGGCAGATGTGGTAAAGGAGCGGTTGAATTTGCTCAAAGAGCAGGTATTCAAGAGTAAGTCTTTTTTTTTTTCTTTAAAAAAAAAATAAAAGTAAAACGTTAACAAATATTTTCCTCAATCGTTTTAGTAAAAATATTATTAAATGGGATATTGAAGAGACCAAAAAAGGAGGACCATTTAAAGAAATTCTTGAATGTGATATTTTTGTTAATTGTATTTATTTAAATCATAAAATACAACCATTTCTTACTAAAGAAATGCTTGATCAAGGAAGACAACTTTCAGTTCTTGTAGACGTTAGTTGTGATACTACAAATCCCAATAATCCCATTCCTGTATACGATGTCAATACCACATTTGATAACCCAACCGCGCATGTTGAAACAACGTAAGTTACAAGTTTCTACTTTTTAATAAAATTATTCCTTATTTAAAAATTTTCCCCTAAAAATATCGATCCTCTAGAAATCCTCATCCTATTGAAGTCATATCAATTGATCATTTACCGACTTTATTACCGAGAGAAGCAAGTGAACTATTTGATAAAGATTTATTACCTACTTTATTGGAGTTAAAGGATCGTGAATCTTCTAGAGTATGGAAAGATGCTGAAAAGTTATTCCGAGAAAAATGTGCTTTGGTTAACAATAGTTAAATTAATAATTACTATTTAATAAATATATTTATGCGGATTTGAATAAATTATTGATATGTGTAATATAAAACATTGATTCTTGTCTTGTCTTAGAAAATTTGTGTTAGTTTAGACTTTTGTGATATGATGTTTTTCACACATATATGAATGTGTTTTTATTTATAAAATTATTAATGCAGGGAATTTGACATCAATGATTACATTAATATTGTTGTATTAAACTGAAAATTCATCAACGCTGAATTCCATTTCTTTCCATACTTTCCACCACCAACTATTCAGTACAAACAAAGAGATTGCTTCTTCATCATTAGTTTCTTTAACATCTTGAAATTCTTGTTCGAAATTGATAATTTCCTTATTCCAAGGTTTATCAGCCATAATATAATGCACATTTCTAATGGCTCTATCATCCCACATAGAAGCATGACAAGTTCTTAGAGTTTTCAAAGCATTATAGGTATATGAAAGTGGGATCCATTTCCCTTTAAAAAATTCATTTAAAAGATCTTGGTCTGGGAAATTGAGAGAATTAATATTAGGATGATTATTTAGATAATTTAATAAACCTTCGAACATCTGTTTTGATGGTGTTAAAACTAATAATCCACTGTTGAAATATCCTTTTAATTCGAGAGATGGTGGTGTATCCTCGGATTCCGGCTTAATTGGACCTTTTGTATAAGCACAACTAGATGGTATCCTAATGTAAAGATATAATAAAATAGAGTTATCAAAATAAGTGTGTTCTTGAATTTTTAAAAAATTTTACCAATCTTTTGGGTAATCGGGTTTTTTTCTGGGATTGCATGTACAAGCATTTGCAGCCGACAAAAAATCTTTAGGTAAACTCATCTTCATAAGATGATCAATATTTTTCATTATCAACATGTCCGCATCTAAAAAGACTACTCTATCATATTCCTCCTCGAGATCCCAAACTCTTAACTTTGTCCAAGTATCTTTATAATAACTCCAAAGGTATTCTTTACGTTTATTACTAGGATGAATTCTTTCAATCGCTTTCAATTTACACCCTTCTATGCTCATTAATTTTAAATCTTCTAATGTTAATGAAGTTTTCTCCTTAGGTTGACCTGTGGAAGGGTCTATGGAAGTATCAGGGTGAAAGACCACCAAAGGATAAGCCGTTTTTACACGTTTTAAAGAACGTGCTAAGCCTTGTAAACCTTTCAAATATGAATTTTCTGTTACCAATGTAACCCAAGCTTGTCTTTCTACCATGTTTAAAAAAATTTTATTCTTATTTATTCAAGTTTTGTCGTTTTATGAAAGAAATAAATTTTTTAATCAGAATTTACCTCCTTTTTTTTTATTGATAATCTTTTTCAATTTTGGTGATTTTCGTGCATCATTACCACATATACTAATTTTCATGTGAGAGAAACTGAAATTTACACTTTTAAGAAAACGTTTAAAATGAAAGGTTTTAAGGTTTAGGCATCACATTTCATAAAATTTTCATAATGGTACCGCAAAATAAGCAATCATTTGATATCGAGGAAACTGAAGAATATATTTCTTCAGAAAATCAAGATAACGAAAATTTTATTAATGAAGAACAAGAAAACACGCGTTCTTCTTCAGTTTCTTCCTTAGTTTCGGGTGTAAAGTCTGTTGCTTTTGACGTTGCCTCTTATTGGGCTAAGGTATTTAATAAGATACCTTATATAAGTTCAAAATCGTATCATCAGATTTCTAAATTGAACATATTTATATAATTTAGAGGCTATATGATACGGTACGTCGTGATCCGCAATCACATTTTAAGCATATTTTAGAAACCGCAAATAATTATGAGCAGTGGGCGGAGGCAGCAAATGCCTTAGATCATTTACAAGGTACTTTATCCGAGATTCTTTTTTTAAAGTAATGTATTACGATATATTCTAATTTTGTCTTGTTTTTTCTTTTTATAAGGAAAGGATGAATGGAAGCATAATGCAATTTCACCAGATTACGATTATGATCTATTACAAAAACGTCTTACACAATTAACAAGGGCTCGTAAGACTGGTCAATTATCACAAATGATATTTTTATTAAGAACTTCCCTTGCAAGAAACCTCGGGGATATGGGTCAGCCGAAGGTAGTATGTATATTAAAATACCAACTATAGGAAATCATTCGTGTTTCAATACATATTAACCTATTCAATTATTCTATAAGTTATATGCATATACCAATATTGGAACTAAGAAATTGATCGAGGCCTATATTAACGAAGTTATAAAACAAATGAATATCATTTGTGACACAGAATCTGAAGAAATATCAACTAAAGACAAACTAGAATTTTTCACTAATACAAGACAATCTTTTGGAAGAACGGCTCTCTTATTGAGCGGAGGAGCTACATTTGGTACCTGCGTGTTTATATTATAATGATTATAATTATATGTTCTAAAATTTTCTACTTTTCTAACGTCTGTTCGATCACAGGTCTAACTCATGTGGGAGTGATTAAAAGTCTTCATGAATGTAAATTACTACCTCGTATCATATCAGGTGCATCAAGTGGATCAATTATTGCTTCCCTTCTATGCACAAAGACGGATGAAGAGATACCAATGACATTAAAGGCTTTGAAATCTGGAGAATTTGACTTGGTATAACAATTTATTCATCATTTAATTAAATTAAGTCTAATTTAAGACTTAATATTTCCTTTAATGAAATTACCAGGAAGTATTCGAAAAATCATTAGAACCAGATACTTGGTTGATAAGGTTAAAAAGGTTCTTAACACAAGGTAGAATATTTATTTTAAATTAATCGTTACATTTTAGAATTTATATTAATTAATTAACGAAATTTTTTCTAGGTGTGTTATTTGACGTAGACATTTTAAGAGAATGTATGCGTCGAAACATTCCTGATATGACTTTTCAGGTTAGGGATGGACTTTTTGTCATTTGTTTTGGATAAATATTCAACGATTATAATAATGTTAATCATTTAATTAGGAAGCTTACAATCGCACAAGAAGAATTTTGAATATAACTGTCAGCTCTTCTACAGTTTATGAGATGCCTCGACTTCTGAATTATTTGACAGCTCCAAATGTGGTACGTATCTTATTTTTAGCAGGTTATATTTTCTATACTGTGATATATTCCTGATTTATATTATTCTTCTTTTTTAATTTAGTTAATTTGGTCTGCCGTGTAAGTTTATTTAAGTATGTGGTACACTATATAACTGTGTTTAGCATTTATCTTTCAGAACAATCAAGCGAAATTACGATGTTTTTTGTAGTGCAGCGTCGTGCTCTGTCCCTTTCATTTATAGTTCGGCCCCTTTGATGGCAAAAGATAAGTCTGGGAATGCAATTCCCTGGAATCCTTCTGGTAGGTATTTACATTGATCTTAAATGTATATATATTTCTTAATTAATAAACGTACGTATTTATACAGGACATCGCTGGATTGATGGATCAGTGGAGAAGTACGTAAATTATCTAGTATTAATTTAGTAAATAGATCATTAAAGGTTTCATCGATTTAAAACTCTATATAGTGATTTACCAATGAACAAGCTTTCCGAACTTTTTAACGTGAATCATTTTATCGTGTGTCAAGGTAAAAAGAATTTGTCGATTGGTTTCTTTTTTATGCTTATCGATTTTATTAGAATCAATTCACCATCTTTTCTTCTATTATATATAAATGTAGTGAATCCACACGTAGTACCATTCATGCAAAAAAATCTAATTCCTTCTCCGATTAGCCGATTGGCAGGATGGTTTTTGTTTCTTGCAATATCTGAATTACAACATCGGATGAATCAGGTGTTTATATACGTTTATTTATTTT